CCCCCCCCCGCTATCCCCCCCGTGCTCTCTCGCCCTCTGTCTCTTCTTTCTCCTCTCCTCGCCTGTCTCTCCCTCTCCCCCCCTTTTCCTCTCCACCGACTCGACCCCGGAGCCTCGGGGAGCTAGATGGCCGCTGGGTGCGTGCCGGCCGCTGAGGAGCATGAGTGCGCCGGGGGAGTCTCCCCCGCCGGGTCCTCCTCGGTCCCGGAGCGTATCCGTCCTATCGGTTGATCGTGCCCCCCTTCACCGGCGGGGGCTATCCGGACAGCAGGACAGCTCCGCCGGGATGGACACCCTGCCGGAGTCTGCGCCGCCGGGGGCCGGGGGCCGGCCGCGCCGCAGCCAATCCCGCCCGCCTCCCTCTTCGAATTCGGCTTCCTCCTCGTCCGGGAGCCTGGCTGCCAGTTCGCGGCGCGAGCGCCCCCCCGGGTCCCCGAGACCCCCTTCTGCGGGTCCCCCCACTTCCCGAGGTGCAGGCCGACCGGAGCAGCCATCCGCCGGGCGTCGGCGCGCCCGAGCATCCGGTCGCATGCGCATCGACGATGGCCACCTCATCGACGGCCATGAGGCTCTCCAGGAGATTCGCCTCGTGGAAAATGATGTCCGCCGTGAGCATGATGCAGATGTGCGCGCAAGCGCCACCACCAGTCGCAATGATGCGCGCGGGCGATCCGACCGCCGCCCGTCGCCCCTTTGCGAGCCGCTTGACTGGAACGAGCTGGGCCGCTGCGAGAGGGCGCCCCTCCTCAAGGCCCCACCGCAGGGGGGCATTTCCGGCTTCGAGGCTGCCATGTACGTGCTCCCCTCGGGCTGGCAGGCATCAGCTCCTTTCCTCTGTCTTTCTTCCTTCCCCCCTCCCAGCCCGCTCCGGCTTTCCTTCTCACTGCTCTCCTCCTCCTCCTCCTCCTCATCCAGGAAACTCGCCGCCACGCTTGAGGCCGATTTGCAAAAGCATCTGGACCGGTCGCCCAAGAAGTCCGGTGCGCTCCTGCCTCATTCTCTTTCCCCCGCGCGTGGATTTCTGGCCCTCTCACCATGCTGACCTTGCTGTTGCCCCCTGCCGCGCTTCCCTTCGCCAGAGCTTCTCTTCTTCTTTCTTCGCACCCCGTCAGTCATCTTCTCCCTGTGCGTGGTTCTGTGCTTGCTCCTGCCTGCGGCGGTGATCCACCTGCACCGCTCCTCCACCTGGCAAGCGGGACTCGGCGGGGCGGCCGGCTTCTCTGCCACCACTGGTCCCCTGGTTCCGTGGGTGCCCCTCTTCGAGGTGGCCCTGGTGTTGGTGCTCATCGCCGCGTGGATTTCGTCCGCCATTTGGTGGACACGACTGCGCTGGCGCGAGCCTTTCCGCAAGGCCAGCGAGTTCGTGCGTGTCCTTCGCATGGAGGCCACCCTGCGCGGCGGGATTGCTCTAGAAAAGGTGGACATTGCGGTGCGTCTTTGGTCTGGCGGTTCCTCCCTCCCTCCCTCTGTCTTTCTCTCTCTCTCTCTCTCTCCCTCTCCGCTGC